TTTAAAGATTTTAACCATGTACGTTTCGCAGCACATGACCATGATATGGGCCTGGGCCCTGCTGTGTGTAGCCCATCATCTCAAACTGTCACTGTCTGATTCAGTCTGTGGATATTTCAGGGCTAGAAATGTCTGTTAAAGCAGACTTGTCTCAGCTTCTGTACAATTTTTCTCCACCTCTGGATATCCCCACATTGGCATCACAATTTCTCTCATACGTAATAGCAAATGTCAAGGGTTTGTGTTGATGTATTGATTTTTAAGATATAATATGGGGGAAACTTGAGGTTGAGGGGAGAGAGAGACTGAAGATGCTGCTAAAGAAAAAATAGAAAATTTGTTTGGAGAGGGAAGCAAGTCTGCGCAGATAAAGATTAATGACCTTTATTCGTGTGAGTCTCTTGTGAATGGAGGCTGCAAAATGGACTAGAAGACAGACAAGCCTCATCACCTGTACAGATGCTGCACATCTGATGAGGATTGATTGTGTGTTTGTGTGTTACTGCCATGCACCAGTCAACTGGGCTTAGATTGGAGGGGACAGTTTTCCCATGTTTTTGAAAAGTAAAAATCATTTGCAATTCCTCTGATCTGTAAATGAGAGCAGTTTTATAATTCATTCATTTTCTGTTGGATTAAAAGATTCTGCCTCGAAATCAACACTTTGTAGTTATTTTTCATATGTTATAATCTTTAGAAATAAAAGATCAGAATTGGTTAAAATATGAATCGGCTTATCAAACCCTAAAGAAATCTGTGCATCTCTGATTAACAGCAGATGAAGGTTATTTAGTAAAAACACTCTACCTCCTCAATAATAAAGAGTTACTGTAGGAATACAACACTCTTTTAGATTTATATAAATAATCACTCTGATTGAACTGAGTGCATTTTTCCATCTACTCTGTCAATATGCATTTATTAGAGACCTCCTTCTGTCCAGCCTTAGACGGCAGCAGGTTTATATAAAATAAACAAAAATCAGTCATGCAGTTAAACTTTTTTCTCAATTAAAAGGATAAAAGTAGTATCTTTAAAACTACTTAAAGTATAAAAGTTATTGTAACGCAGGAAAGAATGTTAAGGACAGATGCTTTAAACCTTATACTGGTTACTGCTCTGCCCTATTAAAGGAACATTTTTCTGTAATTCTGGATGATAACTTCCTTATACTCCATTTTCTTATTTTCATAACTAATAGTAACAGTGTCAAATTTAACTTTGCATCATCTTAAGAACTTAACTAAGAAGTATATTTGTAAAATCTAAGGAGTAGAAGTTAAAAGTTAAAATAATTGCCCCAGTAAAGTAAAGATGGCAAAACTTTTTACATAAGTAAGGTAACAAAGTATTTGTAATTTCTTATTTGACAGCTCTGGTCATGGGGCATTAGGAATCTTTCCTGTATTAAATTGGAAAATGTTTATTATTTCCCTGCTGAACTATGAAACTTTTATTCAATATATATAATATATGAAATATTTTTGGGCTGAAAAAATGGTTTCATGGGATCATATAAGGTCCAGCACTGCTCTATAAACTAAATTGTGAGTAAATAAAGCACAGTTTTGATTTTATACTAAGCAGCTTTAGATTAAGTTTTTTATAGTCTCAGGGCAATAATCATTAATCTTTATTCAAATCCGTTCAAAGTGTTGTTTGGTCTTAATGCTTGGGTAAATCTTTACATCTTGTGATTTATATTTTTAGTGATTAATATTGTAATAAGATCATTTAACCATATCAACTATCCATGCCACTGAGAATGGTGAATAGAAAAAGAGTCTAAATGCATCTTCACTATTACTTTGATCTCTGATGCCTCACACCTGAAGACATGTCCTCATCCTAAAGCTTCGTGATGTCGCTAAGATCTGTTTTTAAAGTCTACGTTTGCAGTTTCGGTTCAGTCTCCAATAAAATGCTGTATAATAATACATTTAGTTGAGCTTCGTTGCGTAACTAATTGTTTTGGTTTTAAATTTGTTCTAAAACACTTAATGTAGTTGAGGTTGAATAAATATAATTAAAAAAAATACAAACACCTTTTGGAGTTTCATACTCATTATTTGAAAAAAACAAACTTGGACATAATGATATTTTTAATAAGCAGATACCAGATTGGTTTTATATCTGTGTGAATTTTATGCTCTTTGAGACAAATTAGAAGTGATTTGTAAAATAATCTGTTTCTCTCAGTAATCTGAAATGTGATTGGTCCTAAATTTATTACGCCACACAAATAATGGAGTCAGTACAAAATTTACAAAAAGGCGGAGACAGTATCTAGGACCAAGATGAGTGTTTATTTTTCCAATACATACTTGAACTTAAATTTAAATATGAAATATCAATGTTGCTATGACATTCTTACCCAAGTCTTAATTCAGCATTGGTTGCTAATAACTAAACTTGGCAGGTTTGCACATTAGTTAATCTGTCACTTTGAATAATATAAAATCAAGATTTTTACCAGCTGTTAAATTTGTAACAACAGTTAGACTCTAATATGTACAAGAAGACAAACAATGTATGTTTTCTTCTTATGGTGTGCATGTATTCACATTTGTCATTCACTTAATGGAGGGTCTTGGCCTGGGTGATGGAGACCCTCCCCACAGCCTGAGTGGATAATTGAATTAATGCCAACCATCTCTCTGTCCCTCCTTCCTCTGTGACTCATCTTTGTTGTTTCCTGCTTCTGGCTGAACCTCACTGCTGCTGCTCAAACATTCATTCTTTTTTTTTTTTATTTACCATCTGAAAACAAAAAAAATAGAAGTCAGTGTTATATCCGACGCATGACCTCATTCTTATGCATTTGTTGCAGTTCAGCTTTCGCAGGAGCAGTTGATTAATCTTTGCCGAGCTCATTGCTCTTTCTCCCTCAGCAGCAGTGCTTTTAGTGTTTACGGACAGAAAGCTATTTGTGGGGTCACTGTAATGATCCATGACGTAATTCATAGGTGGAACATGAGACTGAGTAATGCTGGGTAAGGAAGCATCTGAACAAACGTGCTATGATATAAGAAAAGCATGCACACCAGTATATAGTTTTTTCACATCCTTTGATATGAAACAACCTTTTGTGCAGTTTATTTGGATTTAATGCGACGTAACAACAAAGATGAATTGAATGATTTGCAAAAAGTATTAAAATGATACTAATTAAAATGGGAAAATTATGGTGTGCTTTCATGGTCAGCCCCAATAAATCATATTTTCATCTATTCAAATTCTATTCAGCTCTTACCAGTTTCCATAATCCTGCTAAATAAAAGGATTCCCACAGCCCTATGGTGCCTCCGCCATGTTTGACTAAGGGATGTTGCGTTTGAAATAATGTGCTCTCATATTTTTCAACCAAACATGGTGTTTTAAATCTAAGCTTCAATGTTCAAGTTTGTAATCTCATTAAAGCCAGGCAAGGCGGGAATTACTCAATCTAAAATGGCACCGCCCATAACATTGAAGAACTTATGTGGATGATGTCCTCCGCCCAAATTTTAATGAGAGCCTCAGTTTTGGCATCATCCCAGGTCGCACCACACTCTTTTGATGCCATTTATTGTTAATAGGCTGAGAAGAAGTTGTAACGTTGTAACAAGTGAAGAGATCTGTGAAATGCAAAGCTGGATACGCCAGAAAACCAGGTAAATTAGTCAGCTGACTGTTAATAGGAGATGATGCAGTCTGCTCATGCGCTCTTTGTTACCAGAGAACTGAGCCACAACTGAACCGTGCCGAGCCCTACTATTGAACTAGTGCTAGATTTATTGCAGTTTGATTGTGTCTGCTACAGTTCAGTTCAGTTGCGTTCTTTTTTACACTCCACATTTATCGTGTTACCGTGATCTGACATTTCAAGGCATGGTTTCAAATGAGTGCTGTAAATGGGGCATAAGGTTTTATTACGGTAAATTTTTCTTTCTTTCTTTCTTTCTTTTTTTTGTTATTACACTGTCAAGAGTACAGAGCAACAAAATGAACTCTCTGCATTTAACCAATCCCTTTGGGGAGCAGAGGGCTGCCATTGTATGGTGTGGATTTAAGGGTCTTGCTCAGGGACCCAGAGTGTCAGTCCGTGGGAGTGGGGCTTGAATTCAGAACTTCTGGATTCTAAGCGCAATGCCCTCACCACTTGGCCATTCTCTCCTGAAAAAAAGCTTGTGGTGTGGGTCCGTCTGGCTGCCTGCACTTAACCTGTGCATAGCCTGTTCCTGCAGTCGGGTGAGGGGATGCTGAGGGGTGTGTGGCTTGGACTCAGGTAGATGGTATGCTGCGCTTGGCCTAGGGGGGCGGTCTGCCTGGGTTGCGATTGCCGGGCAGCCATTGGTATGAGAGGACCAAATGGATGCGCAGCCTGGAACGGCTGGAACAGCTCTGGCACCTGTGAGAGATTGGTCCTTAGACCTGTGTCTGCCTTTGTCTGCATCTCTGTTGAGTGTTTTTACATTTCCATATGGGTGTAAAGGTGGGACTGTATGAATATGAATTTGTCTTTGTCTACTTGTCAGGTTGAGTGTTTGCCTCCCCTCCCACCTACTGGAACATCCTAGGCTTTTGGTCTGAGCAGGGCCTGTCTCTTATGCTCCCTGCTAATGGGAGGGGCCTGTGTCTGCTGGTGCGCTGATGAGAGCTAGGTACGGGTTGCATACTTCGGTGGGCTCTGTCTCATTCCTGGTGGCTGCCAGGCCTGACGTGAGGTGTTGTAACCCCCGAACCCCGGGTTATCTTGCCTGCCCTCCTCTGGTGGGTTTGGCTGTTCCATGTTTGACCTCCTTGTGTCCATCTGGGGTGCCCAGATCACTGTTGGAAAAGTAAAATGGTAATCGCTGAATTACATTTGTGAGACCTGTAAACTAAGCTGTTCAGCACATAATAAAACACGCTTTTTCAAAAAATTGAAATCTTCACTTTAGAGTTTTAGTTTTGAATAAATCTGTTGATTTCAATATGTGCTCCATAGGATGTTAACTCTTGACTTTCTTTTTACCCAGGTGGAATCGCCGGTGGAATAGAGATCTGCATTACTTTCCCCACAGAGTATGTGAAAACCCAGCTACAGCTGGATGAGAAGGCCAACCCTCCGAAATACAAAGGAATAGGTATCTATGCTGTCTAATTTTCCTTTTCTGGATCTTATTTTCCAATTACCTGTCATCCTCAGGTACGTCAAGCTGTCACCGTGGTTGTTTATATGACTCAGAACAGACCAGTGCACACATGCACATTCGTTATCTGTGCATCCCATCATGCGCAAACACAGCCAAAATCTGCTGGTGTCTGCTGGAGCTCTGAGGATTGGATGTGGTGCTAATTAGCACTCGTGACAGCTGTTGCTTTCTTGCTTGGCTGTGCATTGGTTTCAACCGAGAGGATTACTGGACTAATGTGTCTGTGCAGGAGCAGAGTCAGTTTTTAAGGAAAACTTATTTCTTTAAGGAAAAACTAGGATTTAAAAGAGATGGCATCAAGTTTCACTTCTCCTGGCCAGTTGGTGGTGCATTGACCCTCCCCTGCCCTTGTTTCAACCTTCAATTGTGCTGTTTGCCAGCGGGTTGCCAGGTTTTGTTTAGAAGGAAAGAGGCTACCTCCATGTGGGTTCTGAACCTTTTTGCCATTTTAGGTCAACGCCAACTCTTAAAAGTTTAATCGATGTTCACCCGGTTTTTGCTTCTTTTTTGATCTGCTTGAATCTAACAAACATATTGCAGAGAGGAAGCCGTTTCTCAGAGCTATAGCAGAGCTACAACGACCTGTCAATCACCTATTCCTACAGACACAGAATCATTTGGGGCAATGTTGGTGACCAGAATATATTTTGGACTTGTATACCAAAAACAATTTAGTAAAATTAAAACTTTTAATCTGCACCTTTTAAAAAGCTGACCATTTTGATGAAAAATATTGTGGTGATAATCTGAGCAGTCTATATTATTATATTGTCCCATCACAGTTATTTTAACATTAAGCATTGTTGTCACATTATTAACAAACACAGTATTCATCAACCCTATTACTAAATACTGCTGAGCACACTTACAGTGTTAATTATTCACCAGAACATTGTAATAATCTAATCTAAATACAGGGCCAATAGGATGACAGGAGACAAAAATCAAAACGCAGTTCATGAACAGTTTTCTTCCTGTTAAAGGGGAATTTTTCCTCTCTCTCTTTGTTGTTACTGTGTATGTGCTCGGTGTGAGAAATTGATTAAGAGTCAACTAACAAATTAACAGAAATTAACTGAATTTGAATTAAATTGACAATAAAAGAAAAGAACAGAAAATACATGCCATTATTTGTGGAAATCAGATCTGCAATGCCAGTGATGTCCGAGAGAACAATGATCTGGATCTGTGATTTCAGTTCAGAGAGGAGAGGCTTGATTTAAAAGGAGAAAAATAGCTAAAAAAAAGTTTTAAAAAAGCACTTCCTCTCCAACAGATGATGTCCTCTCGTGTATTGTATAAGCCATGGTAACCACTTTTTTCTCTCCCAACTAATATATTCACTTTTCCTGCTTTGTTTACAGTCCAAAAATTAAAAGACTCAGAAGACTTTGCTTTTACTCCATCAAGTTGTAAACCATTAATTTAATGTCTTGCTGTAGAAACCAGGTAGTTTGTGTATAAGACCAATAGGTTAATGGTTGTGTTAATCTGTTTTTCATTCATGGTCCTATCTTTCTCTCCTACAGGTGACTGCGTGAAGCAAACGGTGCAGAGTCACGGTGTTAAAGGACTGTATCGAGGACTCAGCTCACTGCTGTATGGATCCATACCAAAATCTGCAGTCAGGTGAGTGAAGGAACTAATTAAAATGAAAATATATTGAGTAAACTAATCCTTGTTCAGGCCAGTAAGAGTTTGCCTTAGATAAGAGAGAATGTTTATATAAAATGTTTTTTTCTTATAGGAAAACATGAATGCAAGTAAGTAAAATTAAAAACATCTAAATAGGCGTATAAATCTCCTCTCTCTGCGTATATTTTTATACAGTGAATAAATCAAAATTGACATCTATTTAATAATGTTAAAAAACCCACCTTCAATTTACTTATCATGTAATTTACTGTGATAAGTGTATTTAAATCTTTTAGCTTTAACAACTTAAATTCAGATTTTTGAATTGTAATAACTGCAGTTACTCAAAAAAGTAGTTGTATATATTTTTTTATTTTATTCTGCCTTTTCATCGGACAACACTGTAGATATGAAACGTTTATAATACATAAAGTAGTCAGTACACCGAGGCGATATGTAGAGCTCCCCATACAGGTTAGGTGGTGGATAGTTCAGATCAGATCAGTGGCTTATAGCCCAGTGCAGCTTATACATGTACATTTCCAGGTTTAAAAAAAACAACTTTGTGGGTGAGGTGTGCTTTAAAGTCCGGAAAACACTTTAACCGATTTCTGTCCTCAAAGAAAACAAAAGCAGCCACCTTCGATCTGTGATGTTTGTGTGTTCGTGGTTGTACAAGATGTACAGTGTGCACACTCGTCTACAAATAAATGCCAGTACTGGCAAAAAATAGATTATACCGAAAGGCTAATGTGGCAATACTTGTGCATAATGGACAAAAATAACTGGATGAATTAGAATGAATGAATTAGAAATTCTGTTAAACCAACACAGTTTCATTCAACTCATTGATCACAACATCTCAGAGCTGGTGGATATTAGATACATTGACCTCCTCCAACTTCTGTTATCACCAAAGATGCTCAAAACAGTTTAGCTCTATAGTCATGATTGGCCAGTCAACTCTTATTTACTTTAGAAAAGCGGCTCTACTCATTTTTGTTGCCATTGGTTTAGCAACAGAAAATTTTGACTGCTGTACAAGCTGTACGCTGACTACTTCACACTGTAATAAAGGTCATATATTATGAAAAAGATATAAAAATCTGAGGCGTGCGCTACCTTTTATAAGTAATGAAAACGCAAAGTGAACATGAATGCAAGGAAACCATGCTGGTTAAAACATAATCGCTTAAACTGTGTTAGTTTAAAGGTACACTATGCAACCGGTGTTGATTTTCCAGTGAGGGTCCCTCCAGAGGGCGAAAGTAAAAGTGCACTGTCGTAAATATGCACAGCTGTTCTCCTGGTTTCTCCGTCAAGCCAGGCGCGGTTGTTTTGAGCTTAGCAGCGAATGACTAACGCTGCGTTCACACTGGACGTAGTTGGCGCGACAGAAGCAGCGAGTTTACATGCAAAGTCAATGGTTGACGCGCGTCAAGGCGCAGCAAAAGGTCCAGCGGCGCGTTTTGAGCACCAGGCGCAGCACGTCTGAGCAGCTGAAGCAGCGCGTCGGGTGCGTTTAACGCAGGGAGAGAGACACAGCGCTGATGATCACTCCTCTTAAACAGTTTATTGACGCCTAAATTAACTTAAAATGTAGAAATCTGCCGGCAGAATATGCAGTTTGGATTATTTAGATGAAAAACACCTACCAGCTGCCGCGGTGAACCGCTGCTGATGAAGGGATCCATACTGTCGGCGCCCCGCTGGTATGTGGGGGTCTGAGCGGCTCCGACAGAAAAAATATTGAAGGCAGGATAATAGTCTGAATGAACTGACTGCACTGATTACGTTTTCAGGTGTATTTTCTCACTTAAACACATATTAAAACTACTTTATTCACACTGATCACAGCAAATATAGCTGCAAGGCAGAGAAAGGATAGTGAAGCTCCGCCCAACGCGCGTCAGACACACTTTTGCACCGCGCAGCCAGAGCAGCAAAGCTGCTTCAGCCTCGCGTCAGAACTAACTGGTACAAGCAGCAAAAATTAAGCAGCAGACACGATTTTGCTGCTTTTGCTGCGTGAACGTAGTATAACTGCACAAAGATTGCCACTGTGCTAGCAACGAGAATGCTTTTAATGGGGGCGTGTAGCAGTTCTCGCCGTAAAGCAAGACTGACTCTCACGAGACTTCTGAGCCTGTAGGTGCGGGTCGGTGCTCCTGCAGTTGCAAGTGCAGTATTTCCCCCACAGACCACCAGGGCGGCCGAGAATACCTTTGTTCAACCTGAAATGACTCATTTAGTCATCCATAACGTTATGGAACACATTAATTAACTGAAAAATGTTGCATAGTGTCCCTTTAACTGAATTTTGTAATTCACTCAGTTATTTTTGTCCATTACCCACAAGAAATGCCACAAATGCCACGTTAGCCTTTCAGTATAATTTATTTTTTTGCCAGTACTGGCATTTATTTGTAGACGAGTGTGCACACTGTACTTCTTGTACAAGCACGAACACACAAACATCACAAACCGAAGGTGGCTGCTTTTGTTGTTGCTTTTTTGTTCTGTTTTTTGTTTTTGTTTTTGCTCAGTTCCTCTCATTCTTTGCCTGTTTGTGTGTGTGCTATGCTGGAGGGCAGAACGATTCTGTATGATAGAGAGACAGGCCCAGTCAGGCAAAGCAAAGATGCCATTCAAACTCAGACAGGGTCTCAATAGGGCTATGGGGATTTAGACTTGGCAGTGTGTGTGTGTGTGTGTGTGTGTGTGTGTGTGTGTGTGTGTGTGTGTGTGTGTGTACTGTTTGTGCACATGTGCCTGTCAGCTTTCAGCATCATTTCCAGTGGGAGCTGAGTTTTTATCAACTGGAAGAAAATCTTTTTCTAAGGAAACAATTTTTCCATCCATCCATCCATCCATCCATCCATCCATCCATCCATCCATCCATCCATCCATCCATCCATCCATCCATCCATTGGCTGAATGGAAATAGGGTGAATATGTGAAAAATATGAGAACTTCGAAGTTAATCTGTAAATATGAACAGCTAGTTTTCCTCTAAAAATCGACAGCAATTGAGTTTTATTTTTCTGCAATAAGATTTTCCACTTATTGCTTGCATGAAATAAAACAAGCATGTCCAAAGTCAGTCCTCTGGGCTCATTGTCCAACAGGTTTTAGAGGTTTCTCTACTTCAGTACAGTTGATTTCCATTGATAGCTGATTAACAGGCTTTTGCTGATCTGAAATCAGAAGAATCAGCTGTGTTGCAGCTGTGAAATGCAAACCTGTAGGACAGTGGGCCTCAAGGACAGACTTTGGGCATGCCTGAAATAAAACCAAGCAAAATCGAATGAATGAAAGAAGAAAATGTAGGCAGAAAGTACTACCTCATGCTTAAAACAAAAAACAAATTCATACCCTTTTATTTTGTATGATTTAGAAAAAAGAAAAAAAAAACCTGAGTATAGAACATGCTGTAAAGAAGATATAAAAAAACATGAGGAAAACTGAACTTGAACCCTAGATCGCAATAATGGGAAATGACATGTAGTATTTATTATGAATTATTCTAACTGTAGTTATTATGTATGAGTTTTTATATTTCAATCTAAAATAATTTTGATCATTTAGATTCCAAGTATCTAAACAATTATATGTGCTTTAAATAGAGATAAAACTGATACAGGATGCTGCACAAAGTCTGCCTATGTGCGCACTGATTAGTTTTAGTCAGTCAAATGGGAGTCTAAATATATTTTCCAGCATTGATTCAGAGAGAAACTGTAGCAGATGGACAACTAAATAGTTTCAAACCGTATCTAGCAACTATTGAAAGAAAAAAAAAAAGCCTACTGTAGGTTTGTGTATTTTGTTGACTCATAAGTTGCTCCAGCTCACTATGAGTCTCACTTAATTTGCTTTGAAATGAAGATTCCACCCAACAGTTAACTTTCACTTATCTGGAAGTATTCGCTTACTGCTGACCAGTTGGACCTTAGAAAATATTTTGGTTTTGAAACTTTTGCTAAGATGGAGCCAATCACTTTCACACGTTCAAGCAGTGTAATAAAGGGCTCCTGCACACATATAGTGTTGAGGAGAAACTAACCCGTCAGTTTGATTTAAATAAATAAATTGTGACAGATTGTGACAGTCCTAGTTTGAACACCAGCCCATTAAGCTTTGGAAGACAAGTGTTTTTATTTGGGGTTTGAGGAAAACAACTGTACTGTAAAACAAATAAATATGTATTTCTAAAGGCATTATTCTGCCTTTATTTGCTAAACTAAAGTTGAATTTGAAAGGCTTAAAATAACATGTTATGCGGACTTTAAAACTAGAGAAGGATATGTTTTGATTTACAGAAGATCTTACCAGTTGCTCATAACCCACAGCTTGGTTTAATTTTTTTCTTTCTTATTATCTCTGAGTTTTTGTACCCTCCTCCTTCCCCTCCTCTTCCACCTCTTCCTCCTCCTTCATCCCATTAGCTGATTAGCTGTGTACCATTATGGAGCGCTGTGGAAGATTGCCAGGGAGGTACGAGATGGACGTCCAATCAGGCCACTTGCTTTTTCCTCCCATTAAACCCCCTCCTTTCTTCCTGGCTTGTTCTCTCTGCTGCAATGATTTCATCTTTCTCATCTCATGGAAGAACTGACCTTGTAGGAAGACCCTTAAATAAAGAATGGGCAGCATGGCTCTGTTGTAGGCTGACTCATCTCTGACTGTGTGAGTTGGCCAAAAGATGTGTCATATTTTAACCAAAAGTCTGGTCTCCATATTAAATGGGGGAAGCAGAGTAAATTGGCAGAGCAGGGTTGACACCGACATATTTCTCCCTGGCAGTCTTTAATGAACAAGGTTTGATTCACAGAGGTAGCTAATAGGTGCAGTGCCATCCTGTGGAGTCAAAGCATACATTTTGTGAAAGCACGCTCTATTAATTTGTCCTAAAGACTAGACAGCTGTTTGTATTTATGGAGTGGTGTGCATAAAAAGATAGAAGGATAGTTTTTCCCTGACAGTAGGAGCCATTTAACCATAGAGAAACTGCTTTAAATCCATCTGAATCTGTGTGACAAACTGATGTGAAACTAAATGAGCAGAGGAATCACTTAAAGCAAAAAAGCAGATAAAGGGAAAAAAAACGGAGCTTACATTTACACAACAGAGAAATCCATCTAGCTTGTGATCACACGGTGGCAGGTGAATGTTGTAAGGAAGACAGAGAGAAGCATAGCATTTATTAAGACCTCACCTACCCCTCCTCTTTTCGGGAAACGTACCCGGCAGTGTCCCACTGTCACCATAATTCAATTTTCCTCTATAAATAACCTTTCTCATAGCGGATTCGCTGGCACATCATTTACTGATTGCAGAGATGCAAGAGCCTCATCTTTCTGACCGGACAGGTCTCCTCGGCAGCTGTTGCTGGTCACTGGTTTATAGAGCAGCTGTGGTTAATTGGGACTTCTTTAATGAGAAAACAACAGCCAACACACTAAAGTAAAAGTTTTCAACACATTTAGTGCTTTGTATGAATTAAGAGTTTGCTCTTTTATGTTCCTGCTGTAAATCTGCATGACTTTATAGAATGAATAACCTCTGTCATCATCAATGAAGACCGTCTGAATCTGAATCTTTTTGGCCAGTGATACCGACCCAATTTTTTCCACAGTGTGCATGCATTCGTTTTCACAGACCTTCTCAGCTCTGCTCGCCTATTCCTATTACAAAGTCTAGATAGATCAGGATTTATACTTAGGATAATGGCAGCTCCAAGATCACTGACTCTGGTGACCTAAAACTGGAAGTGTTACATAGCATGACAGGGACAGAAAATTGTTGTCTTTTGATTTTAACTGGATACTTGGCCTGATAACACCCAGCTATCATCTTAAATGATCTCATCAGTCCACGAGGGAAGGATCTATTTGTTTGTTCAAGCTGAATTGATTCAAAAAAAGCAAATTTTGTGAGAAAAGGAAGAACTACAGTTTAAAGTTGAACTGCTAATTTGACATCTGTGCATCCCTTACTGTTCACTTAACACTGATGGTGCTCTGTCTGTCAGGTTTGGGATGTTTGAGTACCTCAGTAACCGTGCGAAGGATGAGAATGGACGACTGGACAGCACCCGTGGCCTGCTCTGTGGGCTCGGAGCTGGTGTCATGGAGGCAGTGCTTGTGGTCTGCCCCATGGAAACTGTTAAGGTATTAATTATAAACTGGTTTATGGTCTGTTGACAGAGCTGCTATATTCGATGATTGGTATGTTGCAAACTGAACACGTCTAATAATTGGTTACATAAAGAATCTGTTACCTGTTTACTGGGTTATTTTTTTCTATGTAAACTGAAAGGGTGCTTTTTTGTGCATTGGACTGAATGCTTTACAGATTTATGAAACAAATCAATTGTAAAAAAGTTTAGATCTTCTGGAATGCACTGAATCCAAGATGAACTTGTCAGGGAAATGGTCAAAACAAGCTTTTTACGTCCTCAAGTTTATTTTTCCCTGGAAAGTTTTATTTTCAGTCCCACATGTTTCCTTTCTGTTATCTCCCAAGGTTAAATTCATTCACGACCAGACCTCAGCCAACCCCCAATACAAGGGCTTCTTCCATGGAGTCCGAGAAATTGTCAGGTCTGAAGGTAAAGATACAGTCTTTAATATATGTGACTCGTCTGACTTCTACTGGACCAGTAGGGTATTGCAACTAAGACAAAAAAGGATGAATTTTGACCTGTGTTTTTAACTTGGTGATGTTTAACACTTTTTTTTTCTACGGTCTGAACAGGACTAAGGGGGACATATCAGGGTCTGACTGCGACGGTTCTCAAACAAGGTTCCAACCAGGCTATAAGGTTCTTTGTAATGACGTCCTTGAAGAACTGGTACAAAGGTCAGTCTGCATGAGGATCTCCACTGTTTGTGTTTGTTTAATGGGATTAATAGAGGTACTTTCTGTGGGAGGGGTTATGTGCCTTGCTAAAATAAACTGTTAAACTTTTCACATTTTATCATATTACAACCACAACCCCAAATTTGTTTTATTGAGACATTATACAAGAGATCCAATTTAAAGGGAAGGTAGATTATACATGGATTTCAAAAAGCTTTAAAAATAAAATAATTGTTCTCATATCTGAACCCAGCCATCTTGAGATTGATACTGTTCATTCATTTGACATGAAGACATTATTTCTGTCAGAGCTTCAGAGGTTTGTTAGAAAACATTTATGAACAGGCAGATCTCAGACACACCAAGAAAGACAGCTGAGAGGCTAATAAAGTCGTTGAGACATTTAAAGTCGTAGGGAAGTCATATTTAAATGTTAAATCATTCTGGCTTAAACATGTATAAAAATGTACGCTTGATCAGACTATATTGTCCCAAAAGTTATTTATTTTTCTATTTAAAATAAAATCCTGTCTTAAAATCTGTTTTGGTTTTTTTCGTTATTTTATCCAGGCCAGTTAGTTAGACGTCAGCTTGTACACCTAAATTCGGCCAATCATATATCAACGGTCATCTGTCAATCATATTTTTTCGGTCATAGCATCTTGATTCATATGTCGCAGCTAATATGTGCAATGATTGAAATAAGAAATAAGAATCATTCACTTCACCATTGAGTTCCCTCCCAGTGTTCACAGGGATGGACGTCTGTGTCTTCGGCAGGTGTAGAGCTAACAGACCTGGCAGCCTTGCGAGGCGAGGGCTCAAACATGTACGGCTGTATGCCTCCTATACCAAACCAAGCTTCTGCTGGCCTGGCGTCCTCTTCCATAACATCTTCCTCCCTGCTTTCCTCCTCTAAATAAAAATGTTTGACGGAGGAGACTCATCCACAACCTCCGACATAAAAGTCTCCTCCTTTTGCATGTTTCTGCTGTCCATAGTGTTCCTTGACAGTGTCGTTGCTAAGTGCTACTTAGTCCCAATGTGATTTCCAATTGGGAACCTACTAGCACTAAGTTGCTAAATGGTTAGCAAGATGCTTCCGAGACATCGGCTTCAACCAAACTTGCTTGTGAATCTTCCGCCACAACAATCCCACTCTAGAAGCTCTGGAACATGAAGGATAGTTTTCCTTGAGCCCTGACCCGACACCACTGGTTAAGTTCGTAGCATTTAGAAATTCCACGTCAAAGTTAAATCACGTTTAGAAAACAGAAAAGTAATCTATGCTTACATCTCTTTTTATTAAATCTGACTGAGGTTGAACTACTTAAAAGGGAAGAGTTGTCTCTAGTTATGTGATGCTGGTGGAGACATAGCCAAAAAACCTGCAAAATGTAATTTGAAAGACTATTAACTAAGCGACTGAATTCAAATGCACTGGCCTCTTTTTAGGTTTCTGATTTTAAAAGATTTTTTGATCTCCTTTCAATCCTACTTTAATTGTTTTTAGCAAATTTGTGTTGCTCTATTAAAACCCATTGATGTCAGGGGTTGAAGCTTGTCAAAAATTAGAAAAGTTCTTGGGGTGTGGATGGGTTTGTAAGGCACTGTATCGTGAATGGATCAGTTAAATTTGTTTGTGTAAATGTAAAGAATCAGAACTCAGATGCTTCTCTCTGTATGGCTAAAGATGAAGAGATTTTGAACCAAACCCAATAATTTCTCACTCTTTTTCTCACTAGGTGATGACCAAAACAAATCTATGAATCCCATGGTTACTGGGGCCTTTGGGGCTATAGCAGGGGCAGCCAGTGTATTTGGAAACACTCCTCTAGATGTCATCAAGACACGAATGCAGGTACACAGTATGGTCCTTCTGCTTTATTTCAGACTCCAAACAACTGCTATAAATGGTAAATATTAAATACAAAGTTCCTGTTATTTTTGAAGGGCCTGGAAGCTCATAAATATAAAAGCACATTGGACTGTGCCTTGAAGATCCTCAAATATGAGGGGCTGAAAGCGTGAGTTGCTGTCATCTTATCTGTTTTTTTCTAAAGTTTATTATGTTTACTTTTAGGTTTTTGCCCTTAGACCTTTTAATAAAGTCCTTGGCAAACTATTACATTTTTAGAACTCATTAGTTTGTCATAATCCAAAGACGGACCTAATTTTTTCTGAAATTCTGTATTGAAACAGCTCATCTTTGCGTGTGATTGGACAAATATTCTCAGCTTTTACATTTATACTTCCTTTACAAAGAAGCTATTCACAAGGGCTCATTTGTGCAGAGACTTTATGTGCCCAGGCGGTGCTGCGGTTTGTTTTTTTTAGTTCCTAAATTCTTCCTCTAGCATTAGCATAAAAGAAACTGCTGGGCTTGTTTTATAATTACTTATTTAGAAGAAATAAAAAAAAAATAACTAGAAATTATTGTGTTTTGGACATATTATCTTGAATGAAGTGTAGTTTGTGTTTTCCAATTATTAGATGAACATTAAACACTTTATGTCAACATATGCATTTAATTTGATTTATTCAGATAAAAAGTAGATTTTCTTTCCCCTTTATGTCTTTTTTGGGTTTCTAGTTTCTACAAGGGAACAGTTCCTCGGCTTGGTCGTGTGTGCCTGGATGTAGCCATTGTTTTCATCATCTACGAGGAAGTTGTGAAAGCCCTGAATATAGTCTGGAAGACAGAGTGAGCAGCAGGAAGTGCAAAGAAGATGACACAGACACAGAGAGTTTGCAAGTTTGCTTCTGAATCAGAAAACCAGCTTTTAAGAAGATTTAGTAGAGATTAAACTTAGGTCTGTGTTATATGTTGACCTCAAAGTCAAAATACTGATAGAAAGAGACTGCGGAAAGAGAAGGAGCCTGAGTGGAACCTTTACGCTCTACATCAAGACTTCTGCCCGCCAAAGTAAAATAAAAGGGTCCTTTATAGTTTATAATGCATATAAGAATAGAAAAAAATCACTGTGAAGAATATCTTTTTTATTTACTTCAGATTTATTTTAAGGTGAAACCACACAGACATTTTAAAAGGTATCTATACTTTTCTTTCAACATATCCCAATCATATTTAGGATGATGGTCAAGGTGATCAAGGTTTACTACAAGAATGAAGGTATTATTTTGGGCTTTCTTAAGTTACGGTAAGCTTTTTTTTCTCTCCAGTTTGCACCCATAAACACTCATGGGTAGATCTTTAATTAATATAAGTTTATATGCACAAAATTCCAATTATTTTTATACAGTATTGTTGTTTTTAAAAGAATTGCAGTGCAGTTTAATGTATATGTTGATTGTATGCCAAATATCCAACCTTTAAGTTAAAACATAAAATATTCAAATCTTTTTAGAGAAAGAGAACATATAATAAAATCATTATTATTTTTTATTTAAAGAGTATTTAAACGAAAGGTATTTACTGAAAACTAAAAGATAGATTAATTACAGACCAGTTGCTGTTAATGAGTGCCAAATGTTTTAAACCTGTCGTACATTTCTGTGTGATTAAGCCTTCTGATTAAATTTGTTGGATTTATCTGAATAAAAACAAACATCTCTGCTCAGTTATTGCTGTTACTTTAAAACTGAACCCCTGCAGTAGTCACAGTTCCCTCCTCCTTTCAAATATTGGCAGCCCTGGTGAAGATAAGTAAAAAGCCTTATATGTATTCATCTTTTGTCTCTTAATATTTATTTCACAATCTCATATTGGATATACTTTAAATTGTCCAACCTTCAGTTTTAGTTTTAACTAAAGCATGTTTGTTTCTTTTTATATGACAACATAAGTTTAAATTAAATTGGGTGTAAAAGTATGATCCCGTGGATGATTTCTTGTAGCTACTCTTAAAAATGGGAAAGGCTAGAGAAGACACCGTGGAAATTCCAAAGGTTCACGCTGATTTGTATCAGTCTAAAAATGGCAAATGATCAATTTTAGATAAGCATCCGTGAAAAACAAAGTCGAATGAGAACCTTACGGTCTATTTAAGACTTTTAGAAACATTTTAACTGGGGATGCCATTAACAGTGGAAAGTTTTTTTTATAGGCCCTTGGTTTTAGCCAGAGGTTATCTCTATTGATTGTGGTGTTTACATCAACAGGTCATAAGATAATTCCAATCATACTCTTAAATGCTAAGGGAAACCAACCCTCTCGAAAACTCAAGAGGGTAGGAGAGGAATCATCAGTGCAGATTTCTTTATTTTTGTGAAGAAAGCATTTATGCATTGTATAAACTAGCATATAGAGCATTGTATTCTCACTCGTGCCTTTTGTTGACGTGTTTCTTGCTAAATTTGTCTGAACTACCTTTATCAGTTTTACTTGGTCTTTTCATTGAGATGTATCTGGTCCCCTTTTCTGGTTAACAAAACAATTTCTGTAAATCTAATGATTGTATGCGAATGAAAATTAATCAAAGTTAATCTTTATTTCCTCATTGAACCCATCAAAGTGGTTGCATTCTCTACTGCCAAATGTTGTCTAAAACAGAATATTACTCTGAGAATATCAGTATTTTCTGTATTGTATGTTCAGGTGTTTCAGGGCTTTGAGGCTGTTTGTGCAATAAGTGTTACTTCTATCTATTGTCTATGTTTCATGTTTTCTGTTTTGTATATGGATATACAAATGTATTAAAAGAAGCAGCTTAAATTTTCAGCCTAAGCAAACCCTTCCTCAGTTGCTTTCCTGGTTTTCTGTGCCTTTGGTTTGGACAGATGAGGGTTAAACGGTTTCGTTACACACAAATGTGGGGTGAATAAACTGTCCGTCTTTTGTGTCTCTTAAAGACAAATTTTACATGTTGCTCAAGTAAAATTTCAGGACAAATCCAAAACTACGTAGAAAGCATGTTGGTGTCCAGAGAAATTGAGGAAAATTGAAGTTAAATGATAGAAATGTTTAGCATAGATTAATCCAAAAGCACCAAAAGCATGAGAGATGTTGAACTTATAATAGGCACTTTAAGGTTGTATTCTCCTTATTCACACGTAACAGACGTGTAAATGAACAACACATAAGTACTATCTAAACATGGTATGTGTGCTACAGTTTACAGGTAAACAGGTTTTTTGTGTGCTGTGTTGTACATGCTTGAAGCCTCTTGGATACAATTTGGTGAAAGGTAAAAACTTCTGAATTGTTAGAATAAAAAATATTTTTAATACAGAAATACAGACCAGAATAAAATGATGTCTAATATCTGCTCAAAGGTTGTTCATTTTAAAATACCACAAAAAACAAACAAACAAAAAAAAATTTGTACCAGGTTTAGGTATCACCAAAGAAACAAAACAAGGAGTCCTTTGGTGGAAACATAATTACTGTTTGGATTACAATGAGGCAATTAAAAAACATTGGAAAGACATTTTGTTCAGAACTGAACTTCCTCCTGGCATATTGACAGAAGTTATTTTCTGTTCTCATCCTTTTGGTGATTGTGTTGAGGAATCCTTAATGTTATCATTATTGGTATTTCAAAAATCCTGTGTTTATTATTTATTTAGCTAAATCCTTTTGTTTTTGTCTTGTAAATATTGTCTTATACCTTCTCAAATTATTGTTTTTTTTGTAAAATAGACATAGAAATAACACAATTTAATATGAAAACAGAAAAATCTCAAATGTTTACAAAGGGATATTTGTTGTCTCTTGTTTTTCTCCTACTATTATTCCACTTGTTTATTTACTGGATTTTCTTTTTCAAATAAGCACCATAGGAAATTGCTTGAGTCCAGAATACAGTATATCCCAGGTATAGATTATATGGGTACAGACAGCTGCAAAGTTAATCCAAAACACTAGAGAGAGCTGTAGCTCAAGCACAACCTCCTCTGAATCTCAGCAAACACACACACACACACACACACACACACACACACACACACACACACACACACACACACACACACACACACACACACACACACACATTATTTGCCATAGAAGCTTTGCAGTCTTTTTATGAGAAGAATTCTTTTAATTTCATCATCATCGCTCCATCATCTTTATCCTTTTTAGAGCATTGAACAGTGCACTGCAACATTAACACAGCAAAACCAAACCTTTCCATCTGCTGCACTAAAAGAAAAGCCATATCCAGGCAGCACTCCCTTTATTTTTGTTCAACATGCCAGCAAAAACTAATTACTCAAAAAAGGAGGAGAGTTGATAATGAAGTCATTTCCAAGAATCCTCGCTTTCCTGTTTATATACAGCTAAATAAACAAAAAAAAAAGAAAAAAAAAGCATTAAGAGATATAAAATAATTATGTTAATGACTTCATGTAGTCCTAATTAACGAAACATTTATTTTATTTTATACATTATACAGTGAGGGGGAAAAAGGCTGGCATTTTATGTTAAGGCAAACTGAAGAGATTTATAAGCACTTTGAACTATAATTCCGTTACTGCCCTTCCTTGGGGCTCAATGCTATTGTTTCATTAGCCTTTCCTTCAATAGGGTGGTTACAGTCATTGGCACTGACTGAGTAAAATGATTATCAAGTCACTGATAATTTAAAGGATATTGTGACCTCACACCTTTTCATTGTTTATGAGCTTATCTTATATTTTTCCTCTATCCGTGGTGCTGAAGTTTATTCTATAATTTAGAGATAAAGCTGATCTGTGTAGTTTGCGATTGATTGATTTAGGAAATATATGATAAAAAAATAAAATGAAATAGCGCATGGAGGCCACAAACCAGGGGCCAATGCGTTTGGTTCCAACTAGTTTACTCTACTTATAATTGTTAAAGATCTATTAAAAGTTTCTTTTTTGCTTCACATTTTTGATAACACTGTGCAAATGGGTTCCTTAAGTCAAATCTTGAGGATGTCAAGTGCTACCAATAGGGTCAGTGACTGACCCCGTAAATCCACAATGAAGTGAGAGAGAGAGAGAGACAAGGAGAGAGAGGAGAGAGAGAAATCGACCTTTCTGGTGAGTACAGTACGTCACACAGTTTGTATCATAAGTGAGTGAAGGGAGCGGCGTCCCTCAGACAATCCGGGCAGCTTTTGCGCTTAGAGTTCCAACTGTAAGCATCTCTCCATTAATTGTCGGTGGTCTGTGTTTCTTCTTGTTTTTGCTCGAAAAACCAACAAAAATAACTAGACAGCCGCCAGAGAAACTTTGTTAAGTGCGAGTGCAGAGCAGGTGGCCAGGAACAGCGGCCGTGATGAGAGGGCACGGATGGAGGGCTGCGCGCATCGGCTTCTACTTTTGCGCATTTTATGCGCTTTTATGCACTGAGCTTGTCCCGACGGCTGAAGCCGGCTGCAGGGAGAGGCAGAGCCAGAACTGCTGCCCCGACCGGGACAACAAATGTTTAGAGCGCACAAGGAGAAACACTGTGTGCTACTGCGACAGCTACTGTCAAAAAACCAGGGACTGCTGCGAGGATTACCAAGACGTCTGCCTGATATCTGGTGAGCTGATTGTTTTACTTGGTCATTTTTGCAGATTATACCAAACGGCCTCCAAAATTCAGAGAAACATGACAACAATTTAACGCTAAAAAATGTTTTGTTTTTTTTCTCCTTCTTATATTCACCAATCAATGTTGGTCCTTTATGGTTTATGTCATGTATTAACTGAATATTTATCCAGATATTTGCCCCAGTACAGATTTATACTTTTCAAGGTCTCTATTGTTATTAGCCACCCACTTCAAATAACAGAAAAAGTCACATGTTCCCCCAATAAATAGATATTAATATATAGACAAAAAATAGATATCTATTTTTTTTTCTAAGCATTTATAGCATCCCCAAGGCTTTGTTGTCCCGACCAGTTTCTCTGCATTAACAGTTTATAGGTTTTCTTGTTGCTTATAAGGACAACGTTTTTTTGACAGTGAGGTGACACTTAACCCTGTAACATACTACACATAACTGTCTCCCATGGCTGTTTGTTGTAGGTGAGAAGCCAAGGTAATGTCTTGTTCTGAGACTTGCAGGACTAAATTTAGTCTTTGTTGTTTGAAAGTTGCCTTCTTGTTAGCAGTTTTTGACCCCCTAACCTTCACATGAAAGCTAAAAAATGCACAACCTAATGTGGACACTGGAGACAAGAAAGACTACCGTAAGTTAAACATGGTTAAATGGTTGGTAACATCCCTGAAACACACAGAGAAACATGTCTGTTCACTACCATTCATTACACATTCATTTCTACTGCCTAACCTAGACCCTAATCATGAACCCAGCTGTCTCGTCATATACCTTAACTAAACTCTATTCACACCTTAGTCTTCAAGCTAACCCCCAAACCAAGAAGATAACTTTTCCCTACGTATTTGAAAGCCCCCATAAAGTAGCATATTCCCAGGAAACTGGCCTGATACTGTCCCCACATGATAACAAACACATGGCCACACATTCAGACTCACCATCATCTTGGTTGCTGCTATATATGGGCAAATGAAGGAATGGACATCTTGTCAAGACACTACCAAAGATGGTTAGGATTTCAGTGGTGTTAAGTCTGTAGTTGGACAGTCAGGAGACATAGAGCTGGAACATTGCAGTCTGAAAATGACCCATAAAACGTTGATGTCAACATTGTCTTAGTGCACAATATAAGTGCCTTTAGGGTCACAGGCACTCCTTGAGTGTTTCACAGTTCTGTCCATTTGCTGTGAGGAAAACAGTCAGCCTTCACCAAGACTCCTAGCCTGGGTGCCAGTCCGAACTTAGTCCCGCCCACAAGGTTTGAGTTCGGGGAAGTTCGGTCTGGCTCTGCTCCATAGTAGCGCGAGTATTAAAGCCCACTGTCAGGCGATCCAATCAAATTGTCAGGGCGGGCTTTATACGATGATGGACAGATGATCAAGAGTAACGTTATCAACCACGTGACCAAAGCGCGCTTGGGTGACAACAATAATGGCTGCCGCTGGAGAGTTTGGGTGAGTAGATTCTGCTATTAGGTCTGTTCTAGAAGATATCGACAGCAAATTAATTTTAAAAGAGGAACAGAGAAACGCGATCAAGTCTCATCTTCTTATTCTAGGTGTGAAACTGCACGCTTTGATTTTTGTGGACAACAACTATGCCTCGCTTAAGATACGTCACGCACTCCGTTGCTCTTATTGGTTGTAGG